AGCATTATAATAGACAGGTAATATAGCTGCCTTTATATAGCTTATTATGCTAAGCGCCTTCTATTAGTAAGATAACGCCTGCAGTTTTACTAACAGCAGTTGCTACGTTAGTTAAGCTAGACGTTATAATAGACGCACTTTCTATACGCTGCTAGTTCTATTAGCATTAGCCTGCATTTCTAAAACTTTATATTTACTACTTTACTTACTTCTTTGCGTGCCTTATCCGTCCTTCTTTAACTGCAACTATAATATTAGCTAATAATAGTATATTAAAGTGTGTATCTAGTCTGCTAATTTATACTAATTTGTTATATTAAGCCTATCTGCAGCATCTTTGTAATAAGATGCAAGCACTTATAATACCTGCGAATAAGTATCTAAACCTTACAGCGTTTAGAGACGATATTATTACTTAGCTAGAAGGTCTAGAGTATAAGTAGCCTCGTATATTAGAATAGACTCTAAGTAAAGTCTAGTTAGTTTATGCTTATAAGCTCGCTAGTATAATATTAGAGTAAAATTGCGACCTAGCTAGTTAAGGAGGTTCGTATTTATCTTATGCTACTTCTAATCTAACAGCACTATAAGTGTATATTAATATATAATAAGCTAATCCTTTAAAATAGTTTCTATAATACCTATAGCATCTCTATCTCTAACTATCTTGCGCAAGAGGCTCGCGATATACAAAGCTGCTTATCTAGGCTTTCTAACTAATATTCTATTACTAACTCTACGCTCTTCTTTAACGCATATTCTACGTTGTCTAATTTAAGGTCTAGATGCTGCTAGAAGAGAGAGCAGATTTACGTTACTAAGAGTATCTTTAGCCTCTAGCGTATTGCCTGCTCTAATAGCTAGCATCTTACGTCTTTTTAAATAGTTCTCTTATTTAAGTCTATTAATTATAACTACTCTAGATTTAATTGCTAGAGTCTGCTACATTCTTACTATAGTCTCTAGCAATATTGTTAGCATCTTAGAGTTAGATTCTACTAGAAGGCATAATTTAAGTACGAGCAGCATCTCTTTTATATCTATAAGATTACTGCGTTCTTCTATAGCAGTTAGTATACCTTCTTAATACATACCTATAGTAATACTCTTACGAGACTTAAGCGCTACTATATCTAACTTTCTTTATAGATTAGAGAACCTAGCTATTAACTCTTATATAATATAGCTTATGCATTTATCGCTAGGCACTTTAGCCTCTGCGCTCTCTCTGCTATCTTCTGCCTTACTTATTAGCTCTAAAGAGCAAAGAATTACTGCACTAGTTCTAGCTCTAGTACCTTACGCTATTATAGCGCACGCGTTTCTATTATTAACTACTAATGCATAGATTGCAGATGCTTACTCTATTAATATAAGCTTATTCTCTGCTAGAGCTACGCTCTTCGTCCTATATAATAATTCTCTAAGTTAGAGCAAAGCCTGCGTAGAAGAGCTTTATGCGCATGCTAGTTATACTCTACGTATTAGCAGATATAAGGAGGCGTTAGAAGCTAGCAAGAATCTTATTCTTATCTTAGCATATAAGCATAGAGCTTTGCCTCTATAGAAAGTGCAACTGCTGCCTACGCAGCAGAGCACTCTTGCGCTGCCTACTACTACTATTTCTAGAATAGAAGGTTCTATAGCTAACCTAGATATAATGATGTTTTTATATCCTTGCATTATTAATAAGTTCTATATTATTATATTATATTAAGGCTGCATAGTCTTAATGCATGTCTTAGAGGAGTTAGTAGATTCTTTATAACTTGCATATTTGCTTAATAGACTTCTAGATACGCAGCTATCCTATAGTTTATCAAAAGGTTACGTTAGTTTAATATATTATGTCTAGAAGACTTACTTTATAAGAAGCAGGCGTTAGAGTAGAGTAGTTTCTATCTTAAAGATATTAAAGCATTTACATATAATCTAATGTCATAAACTTATCTATATCTTCTAAGTTTATATTAAATAAATGTCTATTTCTAGATCTATTGCTCTAATATATAGTAGAAGTTATAGAATAATACGCAGTATCTCTCTTATCTACCTTGCTTCTAATTTCGATCTAGTTATATATTCGAAATCTTAACAGTAGATATTAAGATTTATAGGCGTTTGTGTCTTATTTCAGTTAGTAGCCTTTCTAGCGTCGTTTGAAATTATCTTGCCTATATATAGGCCTAATATCTCTATTCTCTTGCACCTTGCTATAACACTACGATAGATATTAATTTACTTCTTATAACTAATAAGAATTTAGCAGCTGTTACTAATAGCATTGCCTAGCTAAACTCTATTTCCTATAGCTTAACTCGCTCTAATGCTAATATTAGGCCTTCTACGCGCTATACTTCTACTACGCCTATAAAGTTCTTAAGCTCTAGTAATTAGCTATGCAGCTCTTTCTCTTCTAGCTTAGCGCAAGCTACTATAATTCTACTTCTAGTTACTAGGCTGCATACTAGTATAAAGAGTAAAGGCAAGGTAGCTATTAATACCTCTACTATAGATACGCGCTGCCTAGTTATAGAGAACTTAGATAAAGGAATAAGTCTTAGTAAGTAGAGTAATATTAGCGCTATTAATATTCTTTAAGAATATAAGCTTATAAAATTTATAAGCGCATTAGCAGAGAGACTATAAAAGGCAGAGGAGCTATCTAATATCTTGCAGTTAATAAGTAATATTGTCCTAATTAATAGCAATATCTCTAAGAAGCCTAATGATGAGTTTAATTATAATATTATAATAGATATAATACTTAGACTACTAGAATCCTTCTTAAGTTCCTTCTAGTTACTACTAATATATAGACTAGCCTCTCTGCGCGCTCTTACAGATAGAACTTCTGCTATGCAGACCTATAGCTCTTATAACAGCGTTAAAGTCCTAGAGATCTCTAGTATGCTAAATATAATACCTCTATCTATAAAGAGAAAGAGAAGTGCGTCTAATAAAGAAACTAAAATAATAGTAGTAAAAGTCTAGAAGATATAAGATATTAGTATTTATATTCTTAATCTTGCTAACTAATGCATAAGTAATAGTAGTTAGTTGCAAAGCATGCTTGCATTAATTCTTCTAAGAGAGCTACGCAACGCTATTTACAAGGAACTATTTAGAGGCTTTATATACTTTATAAGCTATATCTATACTATAAGCACTAGACAAAACTTATAGAATATGCGCATCTTTTCTGCTGTTACCTCTAAGATTTAGCTATTCGCCTTTGTATAAATATACAGGATATTCTACTCTAAAACTTCTCTGCTTTTATACTATTTTATAGGCTACTTTATCTTTAAGAATGCTAATAATCTAGATATATTCTTGCAGGCAGGAAGTTCCTAGGAGCTTACAGAGATATTAACGATTAGGATTAGAAGTTTAAGGCTAACAGCTTTGCGCAAATACTATAACATCTATATATACTACTAGGGTATGCTATTAGGCTTAAAGCAATTAGAGCTTATACTAAAGGAGACGCATAAAGATATAAAGGCACGATTTAAGAGCTTTCTTAATAGCATCTTCACTAATAGAGATAAGAAGGATAGAGTTTAAGTTAAGGTATATAAGAGTCTAGACTTCTATTAAAATTCTGTAGTTTAGAGTTGTGTCTGCTTAGAGCTTTTCTCTCTTAAATATAATAAATTGCCTTCTTATGTTGCCTTTACTTTATATTCTAGCCTCTTAAATTTAGTTCTTTATATGCAAACTATTATTATACTTACTATAAATTTTGCTTTAGTCGTTGTCTATTACCTTCTATTATGTTTCTCTTAGCATTTCTACAAACTATTTATCTACTTTTAACATTAAAAGTCTCTATTGCAACTTTACTACTCTACTCTTAACCTTATGCATCTTTAACCTTATTACCTACAATCTTATTGCCTCTAATAGTAGCGCTGCTAGCAACAGCATTGCTGCCTCTATAGCATCTAATATTCTATTCTCTCTACTACTTACGCCTTAAACGCGTACGCCTTATCTGCTTGCGCTTAACAATGCGTAAACTGCGCTCTTAGCGCTATTCTATAAGCTTGCGCCTAGTTCTTCCTACGCTAGACTCTGCTATATATAGCATTGCTTTACTATCTTCTTATTCTCTAGTGCTAACTTTCCTGCTATATAGAGTTACTATCTATAAGATTCTATTTATTAATACGCAAGCCTAAGTAGTTACGCTAAATCTATTATCTTTAGTAGCTTAATAGCAGAAGCTAGCTTCTAGTTCTTTTAAGATTAGCAGCAGTAGTAAGAGAATCTCTCTATTATCTTTCTAAATTACAGCGCTAACCTTTCTATTTTATAGACTTTTTAACTATAACACCTTACTGCTTAAATCGCAGGCTTCTATAGCTATCTCTAAGTCTCTAGCAATTACTAGTCTAATAGCAAGAGCTAGCTTCTAGTTCTTTTAAGATTAGCAGCAGTAGTAAGAGGATCTCTCTATTATCTTCCTAGTCTATAGCGCTAACCTTTCTATCTTATAGATCTCTTATTATAACTCTCTTATTCTAATACGTATATCTTAGCAGCTGCGTTAGGACATTCGCTATCTAAGCTTATCTAGAAGAATAGGCTATGCACACTTCTATAGTAAAGATCTGCTATATATGCATTATTCTGCTAAATCTTTAATCTTTGCAAGCTAACTACGTTATGTTCTAGGAAGATATCAGACTACTGCGCTATCTCTGCTGCCTTAAAACCCTCTCTCCCCCCCTATCTGTCGTCGGCGCCTACTCTCTATATCTTAATCGAGATGGCAGCTCCCTCGCTCTAAGAACGAGAAGATTCCTTCACGAACTCCTCTTACCATGTAGTCCGTGGAGGCTACCCTGCTCCAACAGCAGCATGGTACCGCAATGAAGTGCGAGGTGTCCATGTTGCTATGAAATACACAATTGAGAATTTCGTTATTAGTTTCAATCTTACACCAGCACGCTTCGTCATCCTTCGCGAGAATTTAGTTTCTCTTATTCATAATGTCTTCGTCGAAAAGACTTGTGGAGATGTCTCTGAGGAGGAGCGAAATACGCAATATCGAATATGGCAGATCAAGGCTCAAGGCGATAATAATCAGAGCTACTGGCACCGTTACGAAACCACAATCTACAACGACTATATGTGGCCAATCTACCTCCAAGTCAAGCAACATGAATACTTAAGGGACATTTGGACTAGTGGACATCTTGACTTTGGCAATGGAACCATAGTCAACGTCCCGCTAGAATGGAGGCATCAGATGACGATGTACACGATAACGAATACTATCGACTTCATCATCCGCATTTCGAAGAGTGGCAATGCACATCCACAATTTCCATGGTGGCCTAGCTTTCCTGAGTTAGCATTCAACTGGGAAAGACCTAGTCTAGCCCCAGCTAAGCAGGCGAAGCTACACAAATTTAAGGCTATCTCAATCCGCATAGTTGACACGCTACATCACCCAAAGGTTACATTCGTCAATATCACTGAGCTCTTTCCATCAGCAGCTCTGCCCTCTACCCCAGGCAAGTCTGACATATCTGTTGAGCAGGTATCGTTTGATATATTGGAAGAGATCTTGACAAGCGATTCGAATGTTACATACACTCACGAAACTACCTCTATTATGTTCATAAACCCACGTTCTGGTTATCTGCCAGCTTTCATTCAAGATAGCCTGTGCTTGCAGTATGCAGTTAGAGCTCTCCGTGATTATGGAGCAGATGTCATCCAACTTCAGATAGTTACTAGAGATGATGGATAGTCTTTTTGACGGTTGACGTCCCTCGAGTAGTTCATACAAAACACACTTTTATCATCCCCTCACCACCATAACATCTTTGCCGTCAGGAGCAGGAGGAGCCTGCGGTGGCCTGGACGGATGTTTTTTGTGATCACAAAGAGCCTGTATGCTTTCATGACCCTAATCTGTTCATTCATGTTCACCCACAATGTCACTGGTAGGGAACAAAGAATCGGCCCAGATGCTAGTCAACCCAAACGCTTTCGCCCATCGAGATGAACTCATCGAGTGCAGTGCGACCGTAACTTTTGATCTTCGGGGTAGCAGAGCCCGCTGTCGCCTGATTGTCAACTTCAAGGTCCATCCGCATTAACCACTCGTGTCCAACAAAGCTCTCGCTGCTCTTAGAATTCTCTACAAGCCCTCGATCGAGACCCAGAAGCGTAACATACCCAGTAGGAGAACTTGTGACAGCAACCACGTTGCCGCTGCTGAATGGGGCCGCTGTAATTTGACCCTCTCCAGCGCCGGCCCAGCTCGCTCTTGCGACAGCATCGATAACCTCACCTGTCGTTGTATTCAGTGAGAACACGGTAACGACAGCTTGCCTGGTCGATTGGGACAGAGTCCAAAGCGTATCCTTCGACGCAGTGATCGTGAGTGAAGATGTACGGAACTGACTCGCATCAAGCGACGATGGAAGCAGTCTATAGCGCGAAGGTGGTAGCGGAAGCTTGGTCGTATTCGTGGTTTCCTGCAACTCTGCTGATATGAGTTCGTTCGTAGCTTTCGTTACAACGTAGAATCGGTTGCCCCTTGGGTGAAACGCGACTTGTGAAGCATCGGACACATTAGCGAGAACGTCTGTCGCGAGTACATCTTCAAGGCTTGGGTCTTCGGTTATCCGGTAGTTGGCAATTGATGTTGCGGTCGTCGAAGAAGCATGCGAGTCGAGTGCATGTAGGCTCCTCCCGTTGGCTCCCCACGCGAGCGAGTGGACATCTCCGGCTATCTCTTTCGATCGCAACTGTGTGTAGCCATCCGTACTCAGGGCAAACAACACACTGCAGGCTCCTGTGCTAGCCGAACCCCAAATGCCAAAATTCTGGGCCACAGAAGTCAAGCGCATACTTGCAAATGCGGTTGTGTTGCCTGCACAATGGTCAACACTGCTGCAGGAATGTTTAGATACAGACGACAGGAAACTGACAAGCCGCAGGAATATCGACTGTGCCTTCATCGAGCAGCCCATAGTCGACTCCGATGGAGTAGCGTGTCAACGTTGCATTCTCTGGGCGACTGCTGAAGAGGTACTTTTTGGAATTCTAGGTCAAGTTAGTCATTCCTCTTGACGATGTAGCCTGCCAACAAACATCAAGAGCCAGTGAAGGCGATGTGCCGGAAGCATCGCGAGCTTGTATATAGTATACAGTGCGAGCCTCGTCATTCATCTCTAACGAATACAAGGCTTGCCCGTTACTTGTACCTACGATGAGGTGGTGAAGTAGCGAGTTTGCCGAGGCTGCGAACAGCATTACATATAGTTTGGTGATCATATTCCAAGGCTTTTGACGAGTAAGACAGACATCTGGTGAGATCAGCAGGAAAACCCGTTATTATTATGTACTCTGAACCATCGCAGGCCTCCGACAGTGTTTTGTGGGGTGCAGCTGAGTTGCAAGGGTGGCTTAACGATTGATCAATACGGCGGGGAGTTTTGGCGAGTAAGAGCGCCCTCGCAGATTGTTTTTTTACACACCCACTGAGCGTACTATAACCTGTCGGCAATTGAGATCTATGGCGCGGTGGCGAACGTCTTCGCAGCGTTCGGGTTGGCCAGTGCAGCAGAACCGCGTTTCGCCAGAATGACCTTAGAGCGATACCAGAGATATCCAACGAGCTGTGTATCGAGGACGCCAATCAGGTTTGAGCAGCCTCTTACCACTGGCATTCGTAGACGTTAGCATTGCGTCATCCGCAACCGCAATGGTCACCTAGTAGTGGGCGGCCTCATAGGCAAGCGATCTAAGATAAACCACAGCTCACCGATACATGAACACGTCGATCCGCAGCATTTATAATTAACATGTCTGAGACCAGTGAAGCACAGGCCGCCGGTAAAGCGAAAGATACATGCATCACGCATGATATCAATGATTCCATCCAAAAAGAAGTCAGCCAAATCCTGAAGAACTTCCAGTACGATATCATGGGAGTCATCTCCCTTGGTAAGGATGGGATCATGCGTTCGCTGACATGGGATCGCCAAGTTCTCTCTGCAGAAGCCTTTAGTAATCAGCTCCGCGTCGTGCTCATAGCCAGCGTTGCTAACACCAACACAGCACCTGAACAAGTCGGAGCATTCCTGTTACGCTTTAAAGGTACTTCTTTGGAAGAGTGGAACAAAACATTGGAAAATGCCGATGGAACGAAGACGCCAAAAGAAAAGTGGTTCCAGCCAGACGATGACATTCTGCCACCACCGTTGTCGCGAGAGAAGTGGAACGAAGTAAAGAACGGTAGTGAGGAGAGTAAGGAGAAATCGAGGCAGCTGCTGAGGGAGAGAGACAAGTAAGGAGGAGCGTCCTCATATTACTTGTAGTTGCTCACTAATGCTGCACAGCTACGTCGATACGAGCGGAGTGTTAGACTGATAGGGCATGAGGCTGTGAGTTGTTCGCATACAGCTTAGTCTGTGGTGGGTTTCCGAGTGTCATTGTTCTGCCGGCATTTTCGTCCGTTGCCTCTTTCCCCATGTCTCAACTAGGCTTAGCACACGCATCGCTTCCGCCGGCCTCCGGCTTCCCATAACTTTCGCACAAACCTTCACACTCATATCCCAACTCGCACCGTACTGGTCGTTGAAGTTTGTCACTTCTCGAAGCTCGGTCGCGATGGCTACTGACTCGCATGGAGCGCACGCTGCAGCAGACATGCCGCACGTCGCTTGCCGACTTCCAGCGTGAGCTGTACTAACTAGAACAGTGTGTCGCAGGCGGCAAGTACGAAGAACGATGACACTATCAGTTCTGATGGCTCGCAATCCGGAATCAATCCGAAGCGTTTTATGAATTCACAGGATCTCCACGGGTATGAAGATGCGCAAAGCCGGAAGCGAATGAGGCATTCCATTTTACAGGATACGACGTCACAGGATAATGCTTCATCTGCGACACTGCGACAGTCATCTCAACATGGGCTCCAACGACCATCACTCCTTGGATTGCCAGGAGGCAAGCGCAGCACCCACGACATCTAGTCTTCGTCCACTTACTCATCGGTCACAGAAATCCGTAACCACATCTACAGCTACCTCCTTCCAAAGTGCATTCAGCAGGCGCGACTTGTGCGATTCGTGGGAGACCTCGGCTTCCCAGGACCAACACAAGTATGCGCGCTTCTGAGGGCTGAGTACCTCTCGCTACTACTGCGTCAGAACTTAGTAGTAGTTCCTATGACCTCGGCCAGCAAATTCGCGGAAGCCTTTGGCGCGACACTGCAGTGCTATCGATCGAATCTAGTCGTAATCTGTGATCTGATACAAGACCAAAATAAGATCGACATCTTGCCTTTGCTGTTGTCGGTCGTGGATGCGCCGGGCCTCACGATTGAATTTGAAATCGCCGACGAATGCGAGGATGGTTTCAATGATTGTGAGCTCCAGGATCTGTCCAAACTGCTTGATTTGGGCCGTTGGAATATTAGCTGGCGACAGGACTTGCGGTCCGCAGCTCTCAAGACTCTCATGATTCACTATCCCTTTGGTCAATGCGGTCGCGACTCTGAGAAGGTACCCATGGCTGTGTGGCTACAACTTACACTCAACAAGGACTACAAGAAGCTGTGGATGGAGGGCACGCACAGTTTCAGAGAACTTGAAGAGTTCTTGGCTGATACCGGCTTGGATGGGTTGACCGCAATGGACATTCGCGTGGGACTGACGTCGACGAAGAACAAGGGACGCGGTAAAGGATTGCGCACGAAGGACGAGCAGAAGACGATCGATTGGTTATTGGATCGAAGTAAGAGAACACCAAACGACGTCAAAGCCCCACCGCGGATGTTGAAAGAGCTGGAAGATGACCATGGATGGCAAGCCTGATTCGACATGAAGGAATTCTTTTCGCCAGGACAACGATTGTTTTCGACAACATGAACGACGCATCCTTTCTTACCTTTGGCTATGCACGTGTGCTAGCTACGAACGACTAGGCTTGGAGCCGTTACCTTCAGCGACATTCAGCTGCACGATGACGGTATATCCCAGGGACAGCAACTTCCTTCGAGCTCAACTCTGCTTTTGGTCATCATATATCAGTACTCTCAATTGTCATGTCGTAGGTGTGGAACAAGTCACAAATTCAATATTCACGGTTGAAAACAGATGCATTTGCAAAAGTGCACGTCGTGGATGCAAAGAGCCCGGCTTAATCTGATGGAGCCTTATTTAGGTTTCGATGGGCGGGCAAAAGGTCTTCCACCGGGATCGAAAGAACGAATCAAGCCGAAGCCCGGCCGCTGTCATGGTGGAGATTAGCGCCCGCCGGAGAGTCTGGACCACGGACCCTAGGTCTGGCAGAACAGAACACCAAAGGACCACTTTCCCAGAGGATGCTTGGAAACTTCAAGCTGTTGCACCGTACACTCCATGGATGCAGCACGAAAAGGCTCAGGGCTCTATGTCAGCGGCCCCTTAATCCTCAAGGGGCCGTCGACACACTTACGTCATCCTTCCATCCGACAGGAACACCAAGTCGACAGATAGGACGAATCAGCTAGCGCACGTGGCCCGTAAATTGTGTACGGAGCTGTGGGTAGCTCTTCCGCGCGTTCAACGTTCCCTGATTTCTGTTTTCGTCCTCGTCTCGTGTACCCTGGTCGCAGCGTCTGAGCGTGGCGCATCGCAGAAGTTGCCTGTCGAAAACCATCCACGCTGGCAGGGGCGACAAACGCACATCAACAGCACCAGTGTCAGGAGACGAGAGCGTGAAGGTTCGAAGCAGCAAGGAGGGCAGAGGATGACGGACCGTCTTCATGGCCCTGTGACGCAAGACGCGATGACCGAGGCCAATTGAAGTACAAGGGCTGATAAAGTGGGGCCGCGGACCCCAGTTCAGGGTCCAATTGAAGGGTCCTTAGCGCTGCGTATCGGTGGACCGAATTCGCGTTCTCGTCGCAGAGATTCCTTGGACATCTTGGCGTCATATTGCATCTTCGGCCGTGTTGCTGGTATGAACGGCGGCGGGGTCGCGGGACCTGGAGCAGCGCATCAATGGCCTGAGGGCTATGCATAACGGTGCTCACCGCCTCAGGCGCTTGCGTCTCTGTGTCCAAAACAGCGTTATGCTGGCGTGTACTTTCAACGTTACAGGGACGTGCCACGGGCGGGGGCGATAATACGGCCCTGGCACTCGCCTCTTTGTGTTGGAGCTTGTGCTCCATATGGCGACAGCTGCGAAGGTGCGTATTGAGTGACGTTCAGGGACTCAGCCCCTTTCGCAAAACGCTCCAGACCCCAGTTTTACAAGCCGTGCAAACGGGATGTCTCCCCAAAGTGGATCCCCCAGCTCGCGTGGAAAGGCCGCAATTACTTACGCCGCGGCCTGGGATTGTATCGGTCCCTACATGTAGGCGTGCTGTCCTGCTGTATTTCTGCCGCACCTTGTCCCCTCACCACCTTTAACTCGAAAATGTCGCGACACGAGATCATCTCCCCGGCGGAGATCGCGCGCAAAGTGGCGGATGGCGAGCCAGTCCTCATCTACGATGGCTACGTCTTGGATCTGGGAGAATGGATCAACATGCATCCTGGCGGCAAGCTTGCCATACTTCACATGGTGGGCAGAGATGCGACCGACGAGATCAATATGTCAGTAGACTCGGACGCGCCTAAAGTTACTTGACAGAGCTATCTGCTTTCACGTCGACGGAAATGTTTGCCGGAAGGGCTGCAGACATGCTTGACTAAGCACTCAAAACTAACCGCCATGCAGCTACCACACCAATAAGGCCATCCTGATGATGACCAAGCATCGCATCGGCCGCGTAGAGTTACCCTGGACCAACCTCGAACCTCCGATTCGATCGCCAGACTATTACATTAATCTGGAGAAGAGGAAGGCCAGGAAGGATGCCGCTGGACTTGGTCATGCAGATGGTGACAAGTCAAGACGCACAAGGAGTGTTGACTTGGGATCCGTGAGTTGCCCCCACTTCCTGGCTATATTGTAGCCATTGGTGCTTGCTGTCAGTCCGAGTATATCTAACGAACATAAGGCTGCTGTCCTTGTAGGCAAGAAGATTATTGGAAACGACACTTGCGTGAGCAGATCTACTTCCAAGCCAGCAAACATTCCCGAGCAGGCACCGCTTGCCCCGACCGAGCGGTCTGCCTACGATATTGCAAGAGAGAAGAAGGCACACAGAGATCAGTATGCGATTGAGCAAGAGCAGAGGGAGAGAGAAGAGGGCTGGAGAGACAACCCGTCCGTCGATCCCGAAACACAAAAGGCAATCGTGATGGAGTATCGGGCGCTACATGAGCAGTTCAAGAGAGAAGGGCTGTACAACTGCCCATACTCAGCTTATGCCTGGGAGTCCCTACGCTACCTTGCGCTCTTCGCCGCCTTTGGGTACTTTCTGCACATCAAGTGGTACATCACATCAGCCGTATTCCTTGGGTTGTTCTGGGTACGTTCTTGTCGTCTTTTCCGCGCAACATAATGCTAATGATTTCTGCAGCAACAAATCATGTTTACAGCACACGATGCCGGCCACCGTGGCATAACAGGAAACTTCGTCTACGACACGCTCATCGGCGCTTTCATTGCCGACTTCTGCTGTGGCCTCAGCATTGGCTGGTGGAAGTCCTCGCACAACGTGCACCACCTCGTCACCAACTTCCCTGAACATGACCCGGATATTCAGAACATCCCCATGTTCTCCACGACGCCCACATACATGAAGTCGGTTCTCTCATCGTTCTACAACTTCCGCTTCGTTTGGGACGGCGCTTGCGACTTGCTCGTACCATACCAGAAATGGTGGTACTACCCCATCATGGCACTTGCTCGCTTCAACCTCTACTTCCTCGGCTGGTTACATCTTGTTTCGCCACGCGCACAGCAGCTCGGCGCAGCATCATGGACTCGCCCCGTCGAGATCGCCTTCATGTGCTGCTACTGGTACCTCTTCGGCTACCTGCTCGTCTGGTGCACTCTCCCCACTTGGTCCGACCGCGTCGCCTTCGTCCTCACATCGCACGTCGTCACCATCATTCTCCACGTCCAAATTACGCTTTCTCACTGGGGCATGCCGACCGCCAACCTCGGCCCTACAGAGTCCTTCCCCCAGCATCAGCTCCGCACAACCATGGATGTCGACTGCCCCAAGTGGATGGATTGGTTCCACGGAGGTCTCCAGTTCCAGGCTGTACACCACTTGTTCCCCAGGGTGCCCAGGCATAACTTGCGCAAAGGACAGGAGCTGGTTCGCGAGTTTGCTCAGAAGACGAATGTCAAATACACCTGCTTAAGCTTTGTCGATTGCAACAAGGCGGTCATCAAGAGGCTCGAGCAGGTTAGTGAGATTGTCAAGAACCTAGACACAAGTCTGTTGCACGGTTAGGGATATGGAACTAGTGATCGGGCAGGAAGGTTCAGGAGTTTAGTAGAAAGTATACAAAGGTGCCGCGAGGCCGAAACTTTAATGGCCGCAAACGGATGAACATGCATTAATTATTGGAGTTTACGGCATGTGACTTTTCGATCGTCTTCGGTCCTTGTTCATGATGTCATTTCAAATTTCCTTCGGGTGAAATCACCATTATCGCAACATAACCTTGATCGGTGCGCTCAGTTTCAAAAGATCGAAGGTACGTACAACATTTAAGCTTACAAAAGCTACGTCATTGGTCCCACAGACTTTGCAAGAAAACCCCAGCCACAGGTAAGCTAAACTTAAAGGCTACTCGAACTAATAGTTGATTGGTTTGAATTTCTGTGTTTCACCATTGGGTTCTTAGTTAGTAGCTCTCTAGCTCTGAGAAGTATCGAATCATCTGCACGACTAACACTAAAGCTTGTGCCTCGTAGCGGTGAGAAAACGGCCGAAGCTGATACCATGAAAGACATGCTCAAAGTCCTCGTATATGTCTTCGAGGTCTTGGGTTGAGATTCAGTACAACGTCGCCAATAATTGGAAATATTTGCACTGTAGTTAGCAATGAGTTTCCTGATTATACTGTCTGATGTAGCCACTGTTGATACAGTACAGTCATTGCCTGCTTGCGTACGAGGAAGTGAGCAAACATATTGACTACATCTAGGTAGGTCAGAGTGGATTTCATAACGATCTGTCTACAGTGAATAACCATCTGACATCAAGCTCCAACTTGGTGGCTGAGGGTCCGAACATGAGAGTGTGGCCATAGATCAATCCAACGTAATGCCGATCATGTCGAAGGTTGCAGCGCGCTCAGGTGCTGCGGAGTTCAAGGCTGCGCTGGACAATGTCGTGTCAATCCTTCCGAATGAGAAGACGAGCAAGGTTGGGGTCACGCTCAAGGCTGCTCGCAAACTGAAGCAGCACAAGGATTTGGAAATTGCATTGCGCAACACGCTGGATCTGCAAGATATGGCATCTTGGCGGGTATTGATCAAGTATGCGCGGGTGTAAAGTGAGCCAGTGTCGAATGGAGGCATCGGTGTTGGCACGAAGAGATAGCTTCTCCATGTTGATTGTGTCTAGGTAGTAAATCATAAGGCTATAGGTCTCAATCAATTCAAGAAGTTCCCAATAGAAGCAGGATGGTGTAAGTAGGTAGTGCCTGTGGCTCCGCATGTCTCCGCTATTGTGTAGTGGGCGATCCGGTCGTGCAGGTTACCGAACGTGCTTAGTGATTTCTATTTTTGCTGACGCTGTCTGCTGGACTTCTTCATAGTTTAAGAGTTCTAGTCTGTGTTCGGCCGATATAGTGTTGTTTTTGGCCTTTTGGTTACCATGTGTCAAAATGTGGATTGCTTCACGAGTATGCCATGGTTTCACATACTGTATTAGTCGGCGATGTCTACAAACGCGTATGAAGAGGGTGGAGGAGTTGCTTAGTGTCGATAAAACTTCGATCATGGCCAGAGGTAAAGAGAGACTGCCCACTGCTCTTATGATAAGGCACAGAACGTGTGTTTTGCGCTTCCCATTGTACCATTTACCGCTTTGCCATGTCTGTGGCATGTGAGATTCGAACCTTGAGCTCACTTGTGTGCGACGGACTGAAAAGCTGTTCGGATGGGATGTGATCGTTATGGAAGGTCGTAGGGTTGTATTATTGATAAGCTTATTGACAAGCAGAGACACCTACGAATAGCGCTCAAGGGGGAATAATTACATAGGAAACAGAAGCTAAATTGCTCCGTGAAAGATCTTCGTGAACATATCGCAATCCCTGAACATGATCACTGCGCATTCATTGGGTGATCTGGAGGGAACATGTTCGTCACCACTTGTCCAGTCCTCATATCCAAATGCGTGCCTGGTGGTAGTCTACCGTTCGGACCTGGGTGTGGCGAAGTGGAAAGTGGGCGTTGATGTTGTTGCGGTATGTCCAAGCTGCCGGAATTTGGACGGGACATGTGTGAGCTTGCCCTATGACGACTCCGTGCTCTTGCTTCCTCATCCTGCATCCTTCGCGCCATCTCCTCATCTCTGCTCGTGTCGGCATATGATTGCTGGTGTTCACTGAGGGTATGGCGATGACGGCGCCGATTTTGGGAAAATGACGGAGGGTCCCACTGCGCGCGTCCAGTACTTCGTTCTATGTAGTACCAGCGTTGAGATTGGGGATCATATTCCTGAGACCAGCCTCTTGGGGCAGGCGGACCTTGCTGTGGAGCATTGTTGAATGTTTGCGCACGTGGGGGTCGTTGCTGGTTGTGTTTTGGAGAGCTGTGCATCTCCGCATAATCTCGGCCCTGTCGCTTTTGCTCGAATTTGTATATTTGCTGTTGGATGAAGTCATCTGCTCGTTGTAGATATGCGTTCATCCTGGTATCGTTGCTGCTGCAGTGCTGCAGTATGCTGTAGGAGCGGTTTCTGATGAGCGGAATCAGGAGATTGACCGTCCGCAGCAGGCCGAGCTCGATTTATACTGTGGCTGCAGGACACCGGACCACGGCACGCTTCGGCCATACCTGGCTGGTTGCATGCTCAGAGAAGCTTGATAGGCCAAGCCACATGCAGATAGAGGCGTAATTTCGTCGGTATGGCGGTGCAGCCGTTGTAGGGGAACCGCGCTCTTGGATTGGCCCACGATTGGGCGGAGCGGAATGCGCGGAACTGTGGCCCATGTCATCCCGCTGGACTGACGCGTCGTCGAGCATCGTGAAGGCCGGCTAAGTGCCGACTTCCGTGGCGCAAAAATTGACGCCTCCACCCAATTACAGAGTCCGGTCGCGTGGCCGAAGCAGACCGGTCTTCCAAGCAACCTCATCCGAGTTCCAGGGTCGATCATTCATTGTGGCGTTCTATTCAGGTCGTTGGTCCCTGGCGGAGTCGGATGGTCCCTTCAGACCTCATTCTTTGGTTATGCGAACTCCTTGTATTTCGAATGGGTCCACGAAACCGAGTTGTTCGAAGTAGGGGACGCTCTCTTCGGGCAGTTGACTCATCATGAGTGAATCCTCTGGGGACCTAGGAAGCCAAGGTAGGGTTGAAGTTGGCTTGAAAGTGAGCTGCATATTACCAAAGTGGTCGTGGTGAGTGTATATGCTTTCGATGTCAACTCGCAGAGCTTCTTTCCAGGCAATGGCGTGCTCGGTAAAGACGATATTAAACATTCCCTCATTAGCGGCAGTATGCTGAAACGAAAGGCGAACCTGAGGACTGCCCAGCAATCTGCGCAACAAAGGGCCCAGTTCTGTCGGATAGTCGCGTTTATGCTCTTTTCTAGTCCGGAGTAAGATGTCGAGACAAACACCGTCAGCATCCGTCTGCGTGAATGGATAGAAGGTGTCAAGGTAAAGTTGGGCTTCGCCAAAGTGGATAGACACGGTTTGGCGTCCAAGATAGAGCGGTCTGAACTCTGTACGAGTTGTACGGCACGCCTGAGTAAGGCCAAGGTATCCTCCTTGATGAGGCGTGGTTTTTGGTCGATATAGGATGTCCTTTCGGGTATGAGATTCTTCGACAGCAATCTCATACACCAGGTTTCTTAGCTCTGGCGAGAGGTTAGTGCGCATTACCAACAAGAGCGAGCTAACCTTTACCGGCTGATAAATCCAGGAAGCGGAAGTTCATCCTCGCATGTTAGAGCCTGGATGTAAGTAACGCGTTCGCTGTGCGATGCTGTTGGCGGGGCGCCAAGCACATCAGCCACTCAGCCACGTGCTGCAGGAGCACCGACGTCATACTCAGAGACGGTCATTATTGGCATATTTCGGGCAAGACATGAGTAACTCCGTTGGCTAAACGATTTGCAAACTCGTCATCGCACAGCACCTCGTTATCTCAGAGTTTGAAACCGCGCAGCTTGGCGTATAACTACACATCTAACATCATGGCCCTCCAGCCTGGTCTCAGAGCCTGCTCGCCGGGACTAATGATCTCCGAATCGTGTGAAAAATATGGCGCCGTCTGATCCGTATTGAGTCAGTGGGTCAAGGTCAAGTTATCTATCGCCTGTCTCACTTCATCGTGATCCTCATCGACCAACTCCAATACAAATAGAGTTTAGATTGACCAAGATCACAGTCCAGTGCATTACGCCCGAATTCCATGAAGAGTTCCAGCTGCGTGTTGAGTAGGTTGCAAGCAGCCATTAGCTGCGTTGTCGATGAAGCTAGTGCCACGCAAACATTTGAAGTATTGCAAGCCGCATGCGGACATGGTACACAAAACCTAGCAGCTTGGAACCGACTCACTATTTCCCGCATTAGCCATTACTAGATCTGTGGTGTAAAGCCATGAGTGCTGAACGTGAAATTTCAAGGATTTCAGTAAGAAAGCTTGAACTTACGGATTGGGACATGAAGCAAGCGGATAGGCCGTAAGGTCACACTAGCACCTGCAAAAGAGCAGCGAAAAAGGAGCAGCATCTTTCGCTAGTTTTCGGGAAACTAAGAAAACAAAGCAAAGAATCGATCAAGTCTGCTAACCACTTCTCGCGAAAGATTCGTACTGCAGTGGTCTCATTGTTGCCTGGTGAATATATAGAAGGGACTGAGAAACCGAAGCCACGCACGAATTTACTCTGATCTGCTATATTTGGGGTCCGAGACGCGATGTTGCCGTGAGTTTGTAGGCCAAGAGGGCGGGGCGACGTGAAGGTCACGGTCACGTGCGCGCCGGGTAAAGCATCTCAAGATACACAGACAAACTCACCAGGGGCTTGATAGAGTATCGTCATTATCTTAAAGAATCGTACCTGGCAAAACATTGAAAATTCCACGGGCGTCAATTTTAGTTTGCTATTGAGCGGCCGCCCGCGCACACCTCCCTCACACGTCCAAACACCTACAGGCACACAAAGGTAAAGGCGCTAGTAGAATGCAGATGTTAGTAATCTCGACACGGCATGAAAAAATTAGTACGGCCTTGCAGGCTATTCCTATTTCTGAGACTTCGATCCATCGTCTCGCGCAGGATCTATGATACAAGCTGCCACAAGAAAACTAGAATCTGCCTGCGTCAAGAGTCGCGCCTTCGCCATGAATTCACGACACCCGAACCGACCCAAGCGCGCCGCAAAGCACAAAAGCGCTAGGAAGCTCCTTCCCCGGAAACCTGGTACGACGTTGTGCAATATATGGCGAACTCAGACCATATCGCTAACTTACCTATGGTAGCCGCATCAGAAGCACCTGCCATCGCCGCACTCGACTTACCTGCTGGTCAACCTTCCACTTATCATGACAACCACAGGAACTGATGAGCTTCCAGATATCCGAGCATTACTTTACATCGACGAAGAGCACCTGATATGCATCCAATACACCCATCTCGAACAGTACTTCGCGAAACCAGGCCGAATCATGTCTCACACAAGCAGCAAACCACCGCCAAGAGAAAAACCCAATGTCTACGTTGATATCGCCTCGCACACGCCTACGAAGCCAGCGCTGCTGTCACTCAACATAACGCCATACATCTGGCTCTATCTGACCTTCAAGCACATACGCTTCCACTTCTTCACTGAGAATGACCACCAGGGCCTCGGACTCGCCGATCTGGCATCACAAGTCTTTTCCAAACATGCGAGCAGTTGGCGCAAGCACGTGCTGGAAAGTGGCAATGTGGAGGAAGTGAGGATATGGTGGAGAGAGCGGAGTCTGGATGTCGTGCTGAAGAGAGGCTCGGATTGGGCTATCGAGTGGGACTGTCATGACAAGGATAGCGCGCAGATCGTGGCGCTCAAGAGTTCGTTGGGGTTGATCGCTTTCCAGCCTAGGCAGTGGAGGGGATCGGTCGTGGTTGTGAGTGTGGAAGGATAGAACACATTGTGTGTACCGCGGGTTTCAGAATAAAGATGGGGATCCCACGAGACATCGCGTACATTCAGGAGGTCAAAGAATGATTGGAATGCACATTTTGATAGCGGACATGAACCTACAGAATTGAAGCACAGCTTAATCATCGAACAGCAATGCTGAGCGAAGTTTTCGCGGTTTTGAAATTGGAGTGCGTTGCAAGTAGACGCTCATGATGCTCCAAGTTCTTTTACACCCCATCGGTGCGAACCAACGGATGCAAAACAAGATAACAAAGCCAAAGCACGCAAAACAAAAAGCCTGGCAACGCTAGTGCGAGCCATGGAAATACTGCACTGGCAAGGAGAGTGCGCCGCAGTGATACCGGAAGCAAACGGTGGAAGCCAGACACGATCAAGACAGCACAGCTAGTCGAGTTCCTCAGCGTCGAAGCTATCTGGATCGTTTGTGCGTCCTGCCAATCTCCGGTATATGTCGGTGCCTCCTCTCTTCTTCTGCTTCCAACCCATGTCGACGACTCCCTGGCGTCGAACTTTCCATCGCGCGATGCCGCCGGCGAAATAGGCATGCAGTTGCAATCCATCCTTATAGGCAAGACGTGTCTCAAAAACAAACTGGTTGATTTCCGAGATCTGCTTGTTCCGGTGTGTGTGGGCCCCGGTCGGTGGGATGATGTCGAGTTCGACTTGAACGTCGTGCGATCGCTGCTCTCCATGCTCGAAGTCTTCATCGTACTCTACGTCACCGCCGATGGCCTCGTTGACTATCGAGAGGATGCGAATCGAGCCAATCCCGGCTTTGCGGAATTTCTCACCAGCGTCTTTCTTGAAGACAGCTTCGATCTCGTTTAAGATCTTGAGCTCATCATAGGCAAGAGGATCTGGGATCGCCTGCAGCGCATCGAGGACTGGGCTGACCGATGTGGGTATGAGTTGGAGTCGGAACTCCGTGCTCTCGTGTTTCTGCTTGAGCAACTCGAGAATCTCAACGCCTTTTCCTGGAAGCGGAGCACCAGTGCAAATTGGCTCGACATTGCCAACACGCTTGCCATCAACTAGGCCTGGGCGATGGAAGGTGTTGACATAGTCGTTGAGAGTAGCTAACGGCGTTCGAACATTTCGCTTCTGGAGCAACCATGGGATCAGTTCCGCTCGGATAGCTTGACAAGTCTGCGTGAAGCCCCAGTAGGAGTGCGCAAAGCTGGCGGTGTTCGATGCGCCACGACCCGATCGACGGGGGATGCCTTGAGGGTAATGCGTGACGTTCATGACCTTCTCTTCCTCATTTGCAATGCAGTACTCGTAGATCATGTTCCGCATCTCAGCGGGCAACTGTTTCCACGGCACGTTCTGTACGCCGACCTGCTTGGCTGGGAACGAGCGGGAGATGGATCGTGGTGTCGCTTCGTCATCGCTGTCGGAATCGCTGGAACTGCTCACTGCTTCCGACTGCCAATGTGCCCAGCGCTTGAGCTCAGCAAGTTCTTTGCGAGGGCGGTGACGTTGGCGGCGCTTTTGAGATGAAGTAATTGTCTTCTTGGACCGCGATTTCTCAATACGGGTGGGCCGGACCTGCTTCCGTGCTCGCAGGCGTCGAGTTGGAGGTGAGCGTCCATGCCCACTGTCGCTGTCACTGTACCTATCCTTGTGGTATGTGGTAGGAGGGAGATTGAAGTCACCCAAGTTCGCAAGATCGGCGGCGAGAGCGGAAGTATTTCGCGCAGGTCGAGAAGAGGCAGAACTAGGACGGGCGGTGGAGGGCTTCAGGCGTGATCGCGTTATACGCTGGCGCTTCTGATGGAGTCTCGACTGGCTCGCGACGAGTGCGCTTTGGTCGAGAGACTTGATAAGCCTCGTCTTTGGAGGGAGCGGGACCATCTTCAGAGCCGCAACCGGCGCTTGGAAGGCATTGTGCCGAAGTGTCAG